CAAGCTTGGGAGACAAGGCGGCAGCGGCAGCCAAAAGCGAAATCATGAAGTGGGAGACAAGGCGGCAGAGACAGCCATTAGCGAAATCAGGAAGGGAGACAAGCTTGAGAGACAAGGCGGCAGCGGCAGCCAAAAGCGAAATCGTGAAGGAAGACAAGCTTCACAGACAAGGCAGCAGGGGCAGCCAAAAGCGAAATCATGAAGGCAGACAAGCTTGGGAGACAAGGCGGCAGCGGCAGCGGCAGCCAATTTCCGCAATCAGGAACCCATCCATTGAGAAGTAAGAACCCCCGTAGCTTCGCTATCTGGGGAATTAAGCCAGCGTCACAACACGATCACCAAAAATTGGGCCGACCACATCCATCTAAGAAGCGGACGGGAACGTTGCGCTCTTGCCAACCAATGCGCCGCCCTCAGCAAACCTCGACCAGTGATTCAAAAACAACATCCAAAACACCAGCAGGCGGAACGCTGCGCATCTATGAGGTGGTCGCGTGGTCCCGATTGAATGCGGCAAAGCTGTAAGAGCACAGACTTTTCACCGCAGGCACACAGTTTTGAGACGCTTGTCAGCTGACCTCCTGTCTATGCTGAGAAGGTGTATGAACAAGCTGGCCCCTCATTCCTCCTCTCGGATTTGTGCCTAGAAATCAAGCCTCGCGTGCGCAGCATGATGCATGCTGAAGTCATGTCATGTGCGGCCACAGCCTTCGCGTCCGGTAGGAAGTGGTTCCAGTCTCTGGTTGACCTTAGACCATTCGACCACTGAGAATCGTCACGCAGTGAGTCTGGAACAGTCTGGAACCAAGAAGCTGAAAAGGTCACGCACACTTGAGAAAGAGTGGTCCCAAGAGTGCATTGAATCTTTACGGTCTAGCTAGTGGGAGAACAGCCTCAAAACCTGAAGTGGACCTGCGCAAACTGAAAGGCGAGGAGTCCGCGCGATAATTCACAGTAAACACAGAAAAAACACTGTACAGGCGCGTCACGGTGATCAGCCGTGATAGCCGCATGTATTGTGGCCACTTCGTTGGACCATTGCTCGCAGCACGTGGATGGCCCCCCCTGCTTAGTTGAATATTTTCATGCAATTGAATGCGCATGGTGGGAAACAGAACGCGACTGCCAACCTGAACTAGGACAGGTGCCCCGAGAGCGCTCAGGTGTAGAGTTACTCTGGCGTAAGGCGTGAGTGATGATGAAACTGAACGCCGAAGGCCAAAGAGAGATATGGGAGATGGTGAAAGAGACAGTGAAAGAGAGTGGCAGAAAAGGATGCGATGAACAAATTAGAGGTGCACTTTTACAACCGGACCAAAACTGTTCCGATGAACTTGTCCAGTCGATGTTTGCGCAGGTCTATGTCAAGGGTTGCAATGATTTGTAGGGCTCACTTTCCACCAAGGCCGCGTAAACCTGCAATGGCGCAGCTACATCACAGATGTAACTGAGCCCCAGCCATGTCACACCAAGCCTTGCGGGCACCGCAAACCATTCAGCTCCCCAGCGGCCCTGCCCCCTGCCCAAGACAACACTTACGAAAAGAGAAGGGTGAAGATACGGAAGAGAGAAAGAGGGAGAGAAAAAAGAGAACGATGTGAACGTGCGACGATAAGAAAGATATGCAGATGTATATATATTACGCAGATGATGATGATACTCATGTTTTTGCTCCTGTTCTTGAAGAAGAACCCTCTTCTCAGGCGTCCTTGGGAAGAAAGACCCAACGAGCGTTTAAAAAGAAAAAGAAAGAGAAGCAAAAAGAGAGAGAGAGAGAACAATAAAAGGGACCGAAAGACAGAAAGGAAGAAATAGAAGCGGATGACGGATCCGGCCTGCTGCTGAATGCAACACGTTGTCATGCAATCCATTGAATTTAGGATATAAGCCGGGATCGGCGCAAGTGGTGGATGGCTGGTATGGCTGCCAGCTGCGCAGTAAAAGGCCCAGGCGCAACACACGCGGTAACCAGAAAGGGTGAATATTCCAAAACCGCTCCACCCGACAGCTTTTTCCCTCTTGCGGGCGCTCGAGGTCTGCGATGGCTTGGGAAGGTGGCGCTGCCCACTCACGGCGTTGATATCCATTTCTTTTTTACAAATAGCTAGCAAGCGATCACCGACTGAGATGATGTGGCTTCATTGGAGCCTTAATCTACCCTCTTGGATTATTGAATGCATTCAGCTTCATCCGGTTGTTCTTCAACCTGTTCCTCCTCAGGCACAATTTCCCAATGACGAAGCTTACCATCATTACCGCGAATTTCGTATCATTCTCCTCGAGCTTGGCATTCTACGAGATCGAGTTCATACCGCTCTTCGGCAAGTTCAAGACATTCTTCATGATCGACTATAGCCGCCCTGAGTGAGTGAGTGAGTGAGTGGAGTGAGCGGAGTGAGTGGAGTGAGTGGAGTGAGTGGAGTGAGTGG